TATTTAGAAGTAGGATTATATTTGTCCTTTGTTAATTTTTAAACATTTTTAGTAGTACATGTTTGCAGTACATAATGACTAAATTGATTGTTGGGAGTCGGTTCATGTACGTGGCACGTCTTAGTTCTTTTTACATCCCCTTCCGCTCCCCTCTCCCCTTTCCTCTATCTTCTGTTCCCCTTCTCATTCATGAAAGGTCTCTCTGTTTCCCATTTTCTGTCTTTTCTTTTGTTCTTTAAATTATTTACACGTTGAATTTCTCATATAAGAGAAACCATGCAATATTAAGCTAGCATGTCTGATTTATTTCACTTAGCATTAAGGTTCTATCGAATGTGTCCTGAGGTAGATGGCAGAATTGAGTATCAAAACCCAAATATACTACTTGAGATTTTTTTCAGAGTGCTTCTCACTCCTAGTTTAATGTTCTCACTCCTTTCTCCCTTTACCATGTTTCTTCTCTGTGTTTACTGTATTGGCCCTGACTTTTCGAGTCCTTCTCCAGGAGAACTTGGCCAAGTTCGGCATTTGTTCCATTTTCCACCCCAACAAAACCCACAGGCGAGCCCACTTTCTCACATGCTTTGCAGCCTCTGTCCTCCTGCACTGTTGAAAATGTTACTTATTTTGAATGAGAAACTTGCAGAGTTTGCTGTGAGTTAAGGCACTTCTAGTTCTCATGTTGTAGGTCTTGTTTCAGTGGTTGTATGTGTCTGATTAGTGAAAGATGGAGCCGAAGGAAGGCAGGAGTGAGACCAGAAGAGAGGTCAGAGGGCTTGAACTCAGCACAGTGCTAGTTCTTCAGGCTAAAATTTACCGAGAAAGGACCATCGTGAGCTCTTTCATGAGACAAGAGGGTTTCCTGAAACTAGCAGTAGCCCATCAAGATGAAGGAAAGGCATTAACTCCAAATTGAATCTTCGGACCACTTTAGCTTTTAGGTTAGATGGGCAATGTCCCTTACTGCTTAGTCAGTTAAATAAAGCCCAAGGTAACATGAAGAATAATAAGGCCTGATTGGGGCTGGGGATTTAGCTCAGTGGTTCCTCCGCCTGCCTTGCAAGCGGGAGGACCCGAGTTCGATCCCTGGTACCCAAAAAAAAAAAAAATGCCTGATTATCATGGTGCCTGGCCACAGCATAAAGCCCTTCTAAGAAAGGTGAAAGACCTTATGTTTCCTATGAGGAATGAAGATGATCAAATGGGGAAAATTAATAGACAGCAGAGAATATGATAAGAAATTAGATTCCCTGGGATGTCAACATTGAACTGCACTGAAGTTTTGTGATTTTTAATTTTGCTTCTGGCATTACGAACTATAAGTACATGGAAAAAATAGCCAGAATTTAAGAAATGATAGCTTTGTTTTGGTATACTATTTGTTGCCAGACCAACTTAAATTCATGTGAAAGTGGCTTATTACTAACAGATAGTGAAATTATCTTTTAAGGAATCTCATTCTGATTCAAAGTGGAAATGTATCTCAAGGCTAAAGAATTTGCCCTATTATATAATGAATGCTATGCCTTAGAAATTAAAATGTATTAATTCCTAGTAATTCTCATTTCTCATACTTATTATCTTATTTTGTCCCAAATTTTTTAAATTTAAATTTCAATACAGTCATGTGACACGTGATGGAAATATAATCTGAGAAATATGTTATTAGGGAATTTCATCTGTGTGTATCGCAAAGTACCACACAGAGTGCCAACTTCTAAGTGCAAACTGAGAAGGTATATGTCAATCATCTGTGATGGCCCCTTGATATTATCCAAATAAGCAGGTAAACACGAGATACATGAGGCTACCACTGGCATAGCACCACACTGTTTCACAGTAAACACTGTTATATAAGTAGGGTTATGCTCTAAAGGATGAAAAGCACAGGATGTTATGATAAGTACATAAAAAAGTAACAGTCATTTATCACACTATTGAGTACTGTGTACTGTAGATGGTTGTATGTGCTTCTTCTGGAAACATACCCTTCTCTCCTTTGATCTCAGTGGGGTGGGAAGGAAGAGTCACTGAGATCAAAGGAAAGCTTTCTTTTTGTTAAATTAGAACACCCCTGTCCTGTCGGATGGAGCATTTCAGACAAATAGATCAGTAGGATATATTTCCTTTACTAATTACTTTATTACAAAGAAAATATAGTGATTCAAGATATAGTAATAAATGAAATGATATGTATTTATCTAACTATATTAATTTGCTTTCCTTTTGCTGGGCCAGAATACCTGACCACCCACACTTGAAGGAAGACAAGTTTCATTGGCTTAGGGTTTCAGAGCTTTTGGTTCATGGCTGGCTCCAAGGCAGAAGCATCATGGTAGGAGGACACGCTAGAGCAAAGGTGCTCACTTCATGGCAGTAGTAATGCAGAGCACATGGAAAGAGCATCAGCAAAAGCTGCATCCTCCAAAGACATGCCCTTGGTGACCACCTCCAGCTGCCCCTCCCCAGTAGCATGTTCAGCTCTTGACATCAGTGGATAAATCTATTCTTGCCTCCACTCATCTCCAGGAATCTCTAAATCCAATCAAGTTGACTACTAAAATTAACTGGCACAACAACTATGTATAAGACGCTATCACAATGAAAAAAAATGATGACAGGATTACTTATATTACTGAATTACATACACCTTTCGGAGACAATTGTACAGAAATTTCTCAGGAATTTTTATACGAGACTTACTTGATTTGAAATCAGTGAACAAAAATGTAGGCAGTATTTTCATAGTGTCACTTTTCTACAAGTCAAAATAGGTAATCATCCTTCAGTCATTTCAGTAGGAGTTTATAGCTGGCACCTTTTAGGTGCCAGGCACTAGGTTTGCCTCAGGCACTGGGCTCAGCCATCTCTGATGGCCAAGCAAGAAGCCAACCCAGAGAAGAGTCAGCCCAAAGTCACTGCACTGTGGTCAGGGCCCTGTATGTAGAAATCCAGCAAGCCCCTTCTCGATTATTTCATAATAATGAAACTTATCCTGAAAAAATCTATCAGTCATTTTGAGTTAAAATAAAACATGTAAGTATAATCTAGGACATATTTTGCAAATTTATGCGCATCAAAAGAGTACTGTTAGTACTTTACCCCCACTTTTTCAATTGTATACGCTACCATGTAATTTACAGTTTCTTGATTACTTCATATTAAAAAGGGACAGATAAGTTCTAATTATCCCTAACTGCTGTAATAATATTCACTCTTCTGCCATTCCATGTTATTTCCTCGGCTGTCTGAATGCTAGGATTGTCCACCTTGTTCATCTTTGAACCTCTGACTCCTAAAACAGTGCTTCCTGCTTAGCAGTGCTAACTTACTGAATGAATTACCCTTCTTGGGAACTTCCTTGAACTCCCTAAGAAAGCCTTTTTCAAGATTCAGTTCAAACCCTTTGTCCCCTGGAAAGCCCTCCCTTGGGTAGATAAATTACCACTTAGTATAGAGCAACCATTGGAGTGCTTTTCAGAAACTTTTGCCTTAAATGTATTTTCACTGCCATTCCTTAATTTGTGTACTGCTCACTCCTGTTTTAACCTCTTCTTCTCCAAATGAAGGTACTCTTTAGAATGTATATCTATGTATTCATTTCACTCAGGTAGACGAGATGATTGATTAATCATAGTTACTATAATTCACTCATTCATTAAACATTCACTGAGTCCCTCTATAATTCCTCTGCATCCTTCTGGGAACATCCAGAAAGCATTGTTGAATAGACAAATATCTCTATTTGCATGGGACTCTCTACCTACCAGGAAGAGGTAAGCAAACAAATAGTGAATGAATGAGGACTCCAAGATTATCAATATATAAAGAAAGTACATGTGTGAAAGGAAGTGACTGTGGTCTGAAATAAAAACGTGTAACAGCTGGTGGCCTCTCTAGGAGTTAAGAGTTGATCTGAGACTTGAATGACAGGTAGCAACCTGTGATGGAAAGAGTATTCAGCATGGTATTGTGTTGGGATGAACCTAAAACATTGCAAAACAGAAAGTAGAAGTGGTTTAAGAACGTTGATTAGGAAGACTTATGTTCAGGACATTGGGGTTTGAGGTGCTGCTAACAGGAGATACAGCCAAGTAAAGATGTCTTGGGAACTGCTATGGGTAAAAGTTTATCACTTCAAGATGTCTCATTGGAAAAGTGAAGAAGGTAAAGCTTAAAAAAGAGTAGAAGTTAGGGGAGGAATTTTTTTCATTTTAAAAGAGAATTGCTAGAATACTGCTTGTATGGCAATGGGAATAACCACTATAAAGGAGTAAAGAAAGAAATTGATGAGGCCACAAGGAGAGTTAAAATTCGAAAGCAGATTCCCTGAGAGTTAACGGGCTGGCTTCCACAGCAACAGTGACTCAGTGTTTGACAGGCACAGGAGGTGACTATAAATATGAAGACGGCTTCCCAATATGGAAATATTTCTGGGTTAAAATGGTGAGAAAGTAAAGTAGATCTGGTGGAGTTATATGACTTTTTTGATTTGGGGACATGTTTGACCTACGAAAAGACTACTTTGTTAAGGCCCAGCCTCATATATTGTGATTATAACCATCGCAATGTACATATGTAAAATAGCTCAGCATGTACACATTTAAAACATGATGAGCTTATGGGTGTTTTCAGTTTTCTTTGTTCCTACATGTTATGGAAAGTTTTTAGTGTAATTTCAAGACAAGTATAAGGGAAATATTAAATACTTATTAAATTGAATGTTATTTATTTCAGCTTGGTCTTTAGGTTAAGTCCTAAGGAACAGTGAATAGAACAAGCAAAGATGGAATCATATAGTCATTCTAACTGTATTTGAATCTTTCTACTCTTCTCCAAAGGAGTGCAGTGTCTGTTGTATATTCTGATTCCCTTCCTTAAGATCTCTGTTCCTTAGTGACTTAAATGTAAGAAATTTAAAATGAATCTACAAACTTAATAAGATGTATCATTAAAAACATGCTGAGTGGCTTAACTGTGTATATGTTCTTTTGTCACAGGCCTCTTTATATTTATCTTCCACTGTGCAATGAAGGAGAATGTTCAGAAGCAGTGGAGGCGGCACCTCTGCTGTGGTAGATTTCGCTTAGCAGACAACTCAGGTAAAGGGGCATACTGTTCATTGGCTTTTACATGTAAAATTGGAAAGTGTTGTCATTTAGCCTTCTGTTGTCAGAGCAATGCAGTTCCAAAGGTAACACATTGTCCAAGTGGAGCATGTGGAGATGCTTAGTTGGAATCAGAGTATTAGGACTGCAAAAGATCTGAGAACTTTGGACCCAACCCTCCTATTCTACAGAGAAGCATGAATTCCAAATAGGTTAAACAAGTTAAAAGGTCTGATGTCTTATTTGACACCTCAGATATCCAGAGTTCTACTACATCAGATCCACCCTCCCGTATTTTTGACATTCTCGATTATATTTTTAGGTAAAGATATATATTTGCTATGGAAGTGGGGTTTTAAATAGTATATGCGTAGGATCAAAGTAGGAAATTTCTCTATTTCTTCAGTTTATTATTGTTTACATCTCAGTATCTTCTCTGAGCCACTACCAGCATACCGGAAAATCCTATGGCTCAGAAAGATTAAATAATGTAGTGATAGTTTTTCAAGGTAGAGTATATTCCTTATAAAGGAGACTTAGAGCGTGATGTCATTTCTTTCAGACTGGAGTAAGACGGCAACCAATATCATCAAGAAAAGTTCTGATAATCTAGGAAAATCTTTGTCTTCAAGTTCCATTGGTTCCAACTCAACCTATCTTACATCGAAATCTAAATCCAGCTCTACCACCTATTTCAAAAGGAATAGCAACACTGGTGAGTCATTCTGGCCATCATAAAGCTATCCCCTGATGTAGTTCTCATCTGGTGCATTTTCATCACAAAAATAGACTTCTTGTGAAGACTGATGGATCACAGTGCCTAATAAAGTGCTTATTTTAGATTTGTGAGAATAAAGTCTGAAGATCGAATCCAGCAAGTTTGTAGATATAATCTTTTAAAATTTTTGTAGCCCACTGATATCTACATAACCAAATCATTAATTCCAAATATTATTGTAAGTTCATTTTTTGATGAGAAACTTAGTTTTCTTTGAAAATATGGTATTTTGTTTAAAAATTATTATAGAAATTGAATTGTAAAATATTTCAGCAGAGTAAGGAAGTTATTGACAATTTGACACAGGATTGGAACAAGCACCATCTAGGATGAATATTTTAAGATTTAATTCCTTAATTATTGGAGGTGTTTTTGGCAACTAGTCTGCAGCTTACTGATTAAATATGAAAGAATAGAGAGCTCAGTGTTTGGAAAGTGACTGAGGACAGGGAGAAATACTGTTCCTTTGCTCATATCCTGTCTTTTCTTTATATTTACAATGACCACATATTCTGACACTGAGTCATTAAGAACATTCTTAATGACAAGAAGGCAATAAAGAATATTTTGTAGTATTTGATAGCCATTATAAATATGTAATGTTTAATAATTTCAAAGAGAAACAATGGAATTGCTACTTTAAAATATGAATTAAGCCCTTTGACACCCAGCTGTTGACATTTAGCACACACTACTTCCTAATTCAAGTTACTTCTAAAAGAGTAATGGAATTCACTTTTCAATTTTTAATTGGGTAGCTGTTAAACATAAGTAGAGGTGAATGGCACAGAAAAGAATAACATTGGGCTTTTTGTAAATAGAATGTAACTGTGATCTTTCTGTATTGTTCCTATTGTAAACACTTGAATTACAGCGACCCTTATGTAAGTCTAAACTCTTACACGTGTCCCTTCTTGGATCACCTTCTGTACCTTGCCACTGGTGTGGCCACTGCCTGACACTTAGGGTAATACTATGGGGAAAAGTTTGAGTCTTTAGAAGATTTGTTAATTCCAAAATTAAAAAGAAATCCAAAAACTTGGAGCAACTTTGGACAGCAGCTCTTAAAGTTTCCTGGAGTCAAAGAAAGACATTTTGGAAAGAATCAAATAATAGAGATTCTCTTCCCAAATGAGTTGTGTATGTAAATTTGCCGAAAATTAAGAGACCCTTGAGAATACTGTACCTATGTAAAGAAATTGGTGATACAGTTGGTGTTACTTGTACAATCTAAGTAGATGATTCTTCCTACTTGGTAGTTCCCTGGCACAAAATCTTGCACTTACAGTGAATTTTCTTTCTACTTAACCAACTTAAATTACTCATTTTGTCTCTTCAGTTAGTGCATTATCTGTCAGCTGCAAATGTATAGCCATTGGACCAATTAAATTGTTTTCATGCTAGCACGGCTGAGAATAGCTACCGTGAAGAAATGCCTCCTTTAAAAGAGGAGAGAGAATAACAAGTTAGATCACTTGGAACATGGGATATTTTAAAAGTATTGAAGAAAGAAAGAGCTGTAGAATCCTGGGGAAAACTGATAAGTTAAAAGAGGAAATGCAGAAATTGAGGTACCAAAGGCAAATTTTAGGGTTTCAAAATGTTATGTGGGATTTTTTTGTTATATTTCAAAGGAATGTATTAATATTTTTTCACTTGTCCTAAGCAAAGAACCACTATGGCCAAGTGAGCTCTTCTCTACTAGCATGAGTTTTATGGCATCATTTATGTAATAAATTTGGCTATCCAGACAGTTCTGAATAGGACAGCTACGTACTGGGGATTGCGTGGAATGTGCAGAAAAACACTGCATATCCTCATAGATACCTAGTTGGTTTCCTTCTTCAAATTGATCTAGACATCCATGTGTTTATGGTGTAGATAATGCCTCCTAAGAGCATTCCTTCAACAAAAGTGGATCGTTCAGGTAATTTTTTATTCCTTTTTTGAATGCATGAATTTTTGCAAGGTTATAAGGGAATATTTGCATGGACTAAGCTAAAGTTCTTCCTGCACCAGCAAAGTGGCTTTACAATACTTTTCAGCAAGCACAGTGTCATTCCCGCGCTGAGCTGGAATTTCAGAAGGGTCGAATGGCAGTGTGCTGGCTTTTCTCTGCATGGGGGGTGCAAGCCGCTCCTTCTAGGCAATGTACCATGCTCCACAGTGAGTGGGTCACATACCACATAAAATAATGAAAACAAAGCGGTGTTTGAGAGGAGAATTTTTATAGAAAGCTATGGATTGGTTTTCCTATTCACTGCTCTTATGAATTGCTAGATAAGTAAGTCATGGTACATTCATAGAAGTCATGAAAGAGAAATTGTCAATGCCAAGCTGCTTTGTGAGGATTTTCATTTGCTTGAAATTTCAGCCTACATCAAATAATCGAAATAGTTCATTTCTCTAGCCCCTGGTTTTCGCATTTACAGCTATCATCAAAATCTTCATCTTTCATACTGTAATATTTAATCAGAAGACTGAGAATAGCCCTCTTTCAGAATTTTACTTTATTTGACTGAAAAGACTCATCCAACTGGGTCACGTCTTTGTAAAGCTGGTCACAGTCTGTAAAAGTCCATGCCCCTGGAAGTTTTCCAGGAAGCAAAAAGAATATATCTTTGACATTTCACAGAGGATGTGTGGTTTTCTAAAAACTTGAAGCACAAATTATTCATTATTGAGATTTAAGTGAATGAAAACTCACCAACAGAAAACCAATGGCTAGTGAATGTGTGAACCTGAAGAAAGCACAGAATCAATCAGCTTGCCGAGAGCAGATGCCATTCTGCCAGGCTGGCTCTCAACAGCACTGGGACCTGCTTCCATCCCTGACCGCGCCTCCATCTGCCCTTTCTTCCATGAACCAGCTCTTCTCCCTTCTGCCTTCCTTTAGTGTGGCATGAGAGAACCATTTCCCGTTTCAGTATTCCTCTTATTTTAGGGTCTGCCCCAGCGCAGCAATTTGAACAGTCTCCAAAGACAACAGATGTCATAATGATGACTTTGAACAATTTTCAATAGATTTTCTATGTTATGTCATCTGCTCAATCCAATTTACTTAAAACTTCACAGGCTTGAGGTGAATACTTCAATTTTGGAACTAGAATTCCTGAAAGCAGTGTTTCAGGATAGAGCTCTTTTACCTCTCCAAGTACATAGAGACGGTGTGACTGTTGAAAACTGAATACTTGAAAGACCATATTTTCTCCGTCATGACCATAAAAATCTCTATTATTTGGTTAATTTGAGGATACATTTTTCTCCAAAATATATTAGTTGGGATAGGGCAGATACTTAACGATATTCATAGAATACATAAATATAACCACATGTGTTTATAAAGCATAGAGCTTATATGAGTTTGAGCACTATCTGAGCTAATTTTTAAAAAATCACTACTCTAATGTGTGATGCTGAAAAATTCAGAATAAATATGTATTAAGTGACCCTTTATTACTATCAGTTGCTCTGATATTATTTCTGTCAGCAGTAATATTCTGAAACTGGAGCAAAGTTACTAAAAAAATTTTCTTTGAAAATTTTTCTCTCTGATAAGAGAATTTTTATTTCTACAATTAATAATTCATAAAAGATGCCCCTTTTACTATGTTCCACTAATTTTACCAGCTAAAAACCATGGTGAGATATGTTCAATTGGGCTTTTATGTTTATCTTGACTCGCTTTTATTCTCCAAAATCCCTTAAATTAAATTTTATAAAAATTTTTATTGTGAAAAGATTTCAAACATGTAAAAAGTAGAATAGTATGATGAGTGTCCTTGAACCCCTCAACTCATAGCCAGTTGTATACCCTTATCCCATTTTTCTCTTTCAACATTATTTAAAAAACATATCTTGACATCTTCCCTTTCAGAAACATTTCAGCACATTTTAATTTTTTGTCTTTACCAAATCTCTTATTTGTTTTGAGCCATTTGGTACATACATTTTTGAAGTGAGTTTTAAAAATTTTTTATTCATTGACTGAAAAATTCCATTTAGGACAATGTTTTCCCATAGCAAAGCACAGCAAATTATTAGGAGGCAAATTGACATTCGGTAAATATGATGGATGCACTTTGATGGCGCAAAACTTGAAATTTTAGTGCTGCCTATCACTCACTGTGAGAAAGAACCAGAACTTCATTTCCTCTGTGTACTTCGCAAATGTGCAAACTGGAGGGCACTGTCTGGGGACCTGTAGGCATGTCACCTGCTCATCTTGCAGCCTAATGTTTTGTATCATTTCTTACAGACAGTACTTCCATGGACAAGTCCTTGACAAAACTGACTCATGCTGATGGAGAACAAACATCAATCATCCCTGTGCATCAGGTTATTGATAAGGTCAAGGGTTATTGCAATGCTCATTCAGATAACTTCTATAAAAATATTATCATGTCCGACACTTTCAGCCACAGCACCAAGTTTTAATGTTTTCAGTCTAAGAAAAAGAAAATCAGTCACAGAAATGTGAAGATCTGCAAGCAGAGAAAACTTGGAGGAGCAGATGTAAATGTGCTGTTACCTAGGTAACTGCATATAGATGAGGAATATATTTTGTTAAGAAGGCTTTCATGAAATCTGGAATTTATCTTTTCAGTATGTTTCTTAGATGGAAGGCTTCCGTCACCACCACAACTTCAGTACTGAGAGCAATGTGTCTCAATAGCCAGAGAGGGTGTGATTTTTAAAATATATAATTGAACCAAGCTAATCAGAACTGAGAAGCAGACATCAAATTAGAGGTCAAAGGAGAAGCAAAACTAAGAACAAACACTCAGTTAGGGTTCATGGGCCTTATAGTTAGACCCGGAAGTGACCGTATGCTGTGTTATCTTTCCCAACTCCAACAAGCATCGTAATATTTGTAACTATTTGGCTGCTCACAAGGTCCACCTCAGTGCTACCTTCTAAGAATATAACAACAGTTATTCTTTTTCAGTGAAATTTCAACCACAGATAACAAAAAGACCATTTGATCCAAAATTTTAAAAGGATTTTTTTCTTATTGTATCAAGTATTTAACCCTCAGGACCATAGCATACTTAAGAAAGCTTTCCCAAAAATATTGACCTAGTTAATATGAAGCTATGTAAATTTCTAATACTTTATTTATTCTGTTCAACATCAATATTTATAACTTAATCCCACACATTTGAATCTGACTTAGTGTTGAGATCCCATTAATGTGGACCCTATCTCTCCAATGGTTGTTCAAGAATGAATCTGTCATACCTCTAGTTTTCCTTCTTTACTGTATATTGAGCCTACAGGCTTATGGAAAGAAGGAGAATTTCCAGTGAATATACTGTGTACACCAGTCTTTCTTTTTTGGGAGACCCAATGTTTGGGACTCTGTGGTCCTATCCTTGCTTTAATGACTCTGTGGCATTTCCAACTACACAAATGTAGTCCTCTTATTTCCCCGATGAGAATCTTGTTCCAAGGAGTATAAAGTGATACATGTGGTATCTCAGTTCATCAAAATAATGTAAAATGTGTTTCTCCACAACTGTTAGTCTGAAAACGAGTTGTATGGTCTTCCAGTTACAGTGTATAAGAGCCTGAAGAGGTCTGGTAGACACAGTGTAGCACTTATAGATCAGGCTACTGTAAACAAGCGATGCATAATATTAGGCAGCTTACCTAACTCTCAGACTATCCTGAGCAGTGTGTACTTGCTTCTGAAGGTGTGGGAAACCACATTTTAATTGTTCATAAATGATGGCGTCCTCTCTAGTTCCTTAGAAATGGGACTCAGTGTTTGTTGTGCCTTTACAGTTGCTCTAGGTTCCCTGGAAAGAGTCAAGTTTACAGAAGCAGCAGCATAAGTGATGAGGAAAGTAAGGATTCTAGCAGATCCAGTCAGCTTGAAGGCAGAGGCCAGACCTGAGCCATGGTGAGCTTGTCGCCTGTGCAGAACACAGGTGGTTCTCAGTCAGATGGAGGAGAGCTCAGTGGCCTTGCCTCTCGCCTGTCGCTGAGCTCCAGTACTGAAAGCAGCCAGGCTGAAAGTATGGTGAGAAGGTGTGGTTGGTGGAGGCCGCTTAGTCTTGCTCCATTTTCCAGCAGGGAGACATGCGCATTGCCCAGCCTTGCTTTCCCAGGGGAATGGATGTTTGGGAGAAAAGGAGAGTAAGTCTTAAGGTCGCTAAGATTCACTACACTAGAGCCACATCCTTTTCTGTAGGCCTATGTTAACAGGCTGCCTGCTGTGCCAAAGGTTGCATATGGGTGAAAATTAATCTTAGTCACTGAATATTCATATACTTCTCCCAACCTTCGATATTCGTGATAGGTTTTAATAAGCTTTCTACTGTGAGATTTCTGCACAAAGTGCATCTTTAGTGAATAGGCATTAAGATATAGCTTCCAAATGGTTTTGCTTTTGATGTCTACTCATATGCATCCAGATCTGGGTAAACATTTTTTTAATTGGTGACCATGTTGGCTCCACTTTAGATTTTCAAAAACCAGGTGAGAAAACGTTCAACAGCTGAATAGAAACATTTGCAAATGGACTTAAAAGACTGGCCCACATTCCACCTTTGGTTCCAAGTATGCAATTCTCACCTTCAGTTAACTCTTCAGAGGAGGTGGGCAGGAATTCACCCTGGGAGCCAAAATTCACCTTATAGCCACCTTCTGGTGTAGTTCAGACTGTTTTTATTTTCCTCCCTCCTTTTTAATTGCATTGTGTTATTAGATAAGCTTTAGTCTAGGATCCTAAGATCATTCCCATTTTTGTTACCATTTCTTACATTGTAAAGAGTATATTCTTTGTTGTTGGCATAGACTCTTTTGTAAATATTTATTTATTTGTGTTTGTGAATGTCATCTTCTTTCATCTTAGCTTTATATTGCCTAGCTTTTTTGTTTTAATTAACTTTCTATTAGAGAGCTGTATATATTTTCTAAAAAATTGTGAAGTAGTTTTCTGTAGCAATACCTTTAAATATGGTGGATGAAAGTGACTGTGAGGGCAAATTAGAATTAGTAGTAAGAAGCTACTACAGCTGATTTGCCATTTTACTAAAATGGAAAATGTTTTTCAAATAAATACTTATATTGTTCATGTTCCAAATTATCCAGGTCCCTTATGAGTGAATGTTTCTATTTCTGACTCTTAAATGGGAAAAGATTATTTGACAACTGGAAAATAACCTGCCACCAATTAAGCTAGTGACATCGCCAAAATATTGGGAATGACTATACGATGAAGGTCCAGATCACTGGGATTAATGCATCTTGAAGTTCTTAGAATTACTTAGGATAATTGATAAAAGCCAGAATCTCTGGCAAACTGAAAGTAATGCAGGTTTCTTGTGTGGGGGGGAGTGTGATCTTCAGCATCCTCCCAAAAGAATGGGGTCAGTAACATTGTGTAGAATTTAGGATTTAGGACATTTTCCTCACATTTATAGTGACTATTTCCATTGTGGGAGGCTTAGAAAGTGACAAATTTTAGCCAACTTCACTTGTATGATCAGAAGAGAGCCTCCCTCTCTACTTCCTTTTACTTTGGTTACTTAGGATAACTGCTTTCTGGAAAGAGCCAGGCCCCAATCTGGCTGACTGCCCTAACCCAACAAAGGATATGCCCAGTGCTAAGCTGTGAGGCTCTCTGGCTGTGAGGTCACTGTGAAATTGGGTCTTCTGAGCCAAAGTTCACAACTCTGGGCCGACCCATGGTAAGAAAACAGACAAGCAGCTGCTGGAGGCTCATGTACAGTTCCTTATGAGCAGGTTATTTCAGAGAGCTTGGGGACAGCAGCGGGGAGTAGGTGAGGAACACTTATTTGCTTTGCAGGTTGACCCATGTTTCTAGGCTTTGAACTCTGAAGGAATTAGACTTTATAAGTAGTGTTTTGGAAGTGCATCTGTATTTTCAGGTGAATAACGTTCCATGTCTTGCATATATAAAAAAAAGCATTATTATTTCTCACCCTGCTCCTGTCACACTACCAATGTCCCTTCATTTCTTCTTTTCTTTTTCTCTCTCCTTTTTTCCTTGCCTCCCACTCTCATTTCAGGGAAGAATAATTAATGCCACAGTTTTCTTTTTCTGCTTCCTAGAGAAATGTGAAATTTTCAGATGTTTGTATTTATAGTCTGCAGATGGTCCAAAAACTGGGGGAAAATGACATAGTTTGTTACCACAGGCAGTTCCAACCTAAACTGAGTAATTTGAACCTGATAGAAAAAGAAAGCCATAGAATCTATCAACAGGCTTGAGTGCTAGATGCTTGTTTGCTGTCTTGTGTACCTTTTGCCATATTCTGTGAGAAGATATTGGTGTTTGTCTTCCCTTGGGACAATGGTATATGGCCTGTCTGTGGCCACAGAGAGATCAAGAAGAGGATTCAAAGATGAGCCATCTGACTCAGCTGTGTCCTTCAAAGGACCTGCGGCCTCTGGAGGAAAGTGGGCCAGGGCTGGGCAAATGCTGAGTGATTCAGACAGAACTTCTGGAATTTCAGACAAAAGCCCTGGAGTAGTTCAACATGAGCAATGAGTTGGTCTTTGGAGCTGTGCTGGATTCTGACTGGCACCTCCTGGGGTAAAAGAGAGCTGTTTCAGACCCTTAGGCTGAAAAGACCAGGAGAGTGACCAGGAAACACCTGAGGCTGTCTTGCTGGCAGGGTATAGAAGTGGGACTGTGGAGCAGTGGTGAGGCTAAGACCAGGCCTTCATGGAGGGATGTAGCTGACTGGAGAGAGAGAACTTTGTCAGCAGCATGGAGAGCCATAGAGGCTTCTGGGTGAAGAAGGAGCCCAGTCCTAGCTGGGCTTCAGGAAGGTGACTGGATGGATGAGAAAGAAGAGAGCTTGACTCAAAGAGAGCAGTGAGGAGCCCTTTCCAGCAGTCCACAGGACAAGGCAAACTGAGGACTAGTGTCCAAGGATCACAGGTCTTGGGGAGGTGGTGACACTAAGGACTTTAAAGTAGCAGTTTGGTAGGGAGTGGCTCATCAAAGTCCGAGCAGCAGTGGATGCCCCAGTGGTTTTCGGATGCTGTGGGATTAGAAAGAGCTAGGAAAGAATGTCAGCCTTTCATGAACAGCTCTACTTATATCAAGAAATGTGAAAAGGGAGAAAAGAGAATGAGAGGTGGTGGGTTAAGGAGTCCACATGCACAGAGAGGTTACAGAGCAAGTTTTTTTTTGTCTGCTCCTTTTGTGGATGGAATAGAACATCCGAAAACAAAATGGAAGGCACAGGAAAAGAGTCAGTGGTTTCCGTAGCAGAGTCCTGAAGAGAAGGGTGGGCCAAGCACAGGGAGCGAGTTGCCCTTGCAGTGTGACAAGAGCCTCCCCTTGTTCTGAGGTAAAAAACGGGCTATGAGATGAGACGGAGGTACTGGGAAGCAGACACTGGGAACGGCTTACTGAGTTTCCTCAGTTTTGCAAGTAAAATAAGGTGTGTTTCACCTGCCAGGTTATAAGGGATGGGGGGTATCAGGGTGAGACCTTAGAACAGAGGGTTTCAAACATTGCAGGGAATGCAAATCCTTGTTAAATTAGAATAAGTCAACTAATAATGTTTGCCCTTCGAGTAGCTTTTACAAGTACAGTTCCCAAATCATCCCATCAGAATAGTTTAAAATTTGCTATGTTTTTGAAAAACTGGTTTATTTCAAGTCTCTAACTCAACATTTAGTGTTCTAAACTCAAACCTGTTAATCAGAGATGCATTTTAAACATTTATAAATAAATGGACGGTGAATAAGTTCAGAAATATTTCAGAATGTTTTTCATCTTTTAAATTACACAATCTATTTGGCTTGGCTTCTTTTCAGTCCAGTTTAATTAAAATAATTTTTGTAACTTTGGGTCTCAATTTGAATAAAGTATTTGACATTTTCATAGCCACATTTTTTGGTACATTTTAATATTGATTTTTGTAGTATCTGGTTCACACTGAGTGAGAAAATAAAAAGTAAAAGAAGTTTAGACTCTTTTGGAGCAAAAGAAAGATCTCTAGAATGTTGGAATATTTCCTGCTTCATGTCCTAAGGGTCCATCTACCAGCATAGTAAGTATCGCCAACCCTGCATTAATTCTGGGGAATTACAAAATGAAACACAGCCTTCTGACTGGGAGTTCACAGGTCAGCATAGCTGCTAGATAGGACACATTTGAAGTATTAAACTCAAAGGACAACTAGTTTATTGGTAAACATCTGAAATGTGATGAATGCTGCACATTTAGAGCTGACACATTTTCTCCCATAACACTTAACAGAAATAGTTAAGGGCCAGCGATATCTTCAGCAGTTAAATTTATACTTTATATTATGTTGCTTTTAATTTCTTGTGTGTGTGACTTCTACTGAATGCTGCTGTTATATTAAACTGATGCACTGGGTTATGTATATAATCATTATTTTCATAAGCACCACATACTGCTTAGCCATATAAGAGGTGCTTGGTTAACATTTGTTGAATTAAAATCTGTAGTTTACCTCACCCACTTGCATTTTATGTTTTAGAAAAATAAATATCAAAGCACCTTGGATTTGCAAGGACATGGACTAGAAATACAAAGTGAGGGGAAAAAACATATTAGCATTATGCTGTCCAAAACCCTTTGTCCCAGTTGTTAAATGTCACCCTTTATAGGATACCGGCAAGTGGGATAAGAACAAAATGGTATCAGTTTGATATTACTGTAGTTCTCTTTCAGTAGTATCTTATGAGGAAGTAGGTTCAGCTCAAGTCTGAGATGAATAAGTAGGAAAACCATGCTTCTGAGAGGTTGTCTCGGGAACTGTTTGATGATCTCACTGGCTTCAACAGTAGTGGATTTAATACACAGGGGTCTTCTTGGAGTGCAACTATCAAGTGTGCAGCCAGACTTCAGGGATCTGGGACCAACGGATGATGGCTGTCGTCATTAAGTGGCCAATTTTCTTTGTTTTATATATTTTTTAAAGACTATTTTAGAGCACTTTTTGTTTCACAGGAAAAATTGAGAGCTTTGAAGGCACCACATTTTCCCATTTCTCCCCTTCTGCATACATGTATAGCCACCCCCATTATCAACATTCTCTACAGAGTGTACATTTGTTACCACAGTGACATTTCATTATGGCCTAAAGTCCACAGTTTACCTTACGGTTCACTCCTGGTCTCATACGTTCTTGGTCTTGTAAAGACTTGCATTGACTATGATGGTATCACACAGAGTATTTCCACAGCCCTGAAAGTGCTCTGTGCTCTGCAACCCCTGGAAACCACTCATCTTTATACTATGTCCAAGATTGACCCTTCCTGGAAAGTCATATAACTGGAATCACACAGAATGTAGCGTATTCGAATTGGCTTCTTTCATTTAATAATATGCCTTTACATGTTCTCTATTCCTTGATAGCTCTTATCATTTAAATGTGTTCCCCGGAGTTCATGTATTGGAAACCCTGTGGTGTTGGGAGATGGTACCTAAAAACAGGTGATTAGATCAGGGGGCTCTGACGTCTTGAATGGGTTAATGGGTTCGTTGTTGAGAGAGTGGGCTTATCGTAAAAGCAAGTTCAGCACCTTCTGCTCTCCTGCCCTTCTGAGTTCCACCATGGGATAACTCAGGGTCAGGGGCCTCACCATCAGTACCTTGATAGAGGACTTCCCAGTCTCCAACATTGTGAGACATAAATTTCTTTTCTTTCTAAATTAGGTAGTTTCTGGTATCAACACAAAACACAGTAAGACAATGCCTTGTTCCATTTTAGTGCTGAATAGTCCACTGTTTAGTGATTCTGTCACCTACTGAAGAACATGTTGGTTGTTTCCAAATTTTGGCACATTTGATTAAAGTTGCTATCACATTTCATGTCCATGTTCTTGTGGCTTTCAAATCGTTTGGCTACATGAAAATTATGTCTCACACAATAGGAGTATGTTCATTTTTTTAAGAACTTGCCACATTACCTTCCAAAGTGGTGACCTATGGTTTTCATCTTTGCTCATTTCTCCATATTTACAACAGACTGGCTTCCTCTCTAGGGCCCATATTGTCTGTTTTGTCATAACTACATTTTAAACAAGGCTTCCAGTTACTGTTGTTTCAGTAATTCTTAGTTTAAATTTGAGGAACATTCCCTGATTAACTTGGCTTGAATTGAGTGTCTGTATATAACTGACTCAAGATTACTTAGCATGAATATGGCTGTGAAGTCTCACCTAGAAGCTGTAGAGGAGGGAAGGGCAAAGTTATTCAATCAGCATTCTCTGAGGGTGTTCAATTACAGCAATGGATTATAGTGGGAGGTGATGTATTTAAAGAATATTATCTCATTATGACAGTTTGGACTATCCAAGAAGTGGTAACTAAGAAAGATTTAGAAATTCCTGTTGTTCATTGGGAATAACGCCTGTGAAGGATAAAGGGAAAAAGGAACAAGGCTATGCAAGGAAAGCCTACAAGTCTTGCGCTTATGAAGGTAGAGTAGGAAGGAGGAAGACGAAACTGCAATACATCTCTGAGCGCCATGGCCAGCCCAGCCAGGCCTGTAGTACAGAGCCCTCGGTCAGGAGTCCTGTGCTGGATGGAAGAGTCCTGGCCCTGTTAGCCACATGGTGCTCAGTTACTGACTGGAAGCTGCTTGAGAGGAGAACAACCTCTGCTCTCAGCTGGCAGGAGATCCCAAAAGGTCTGCACCCTGGAAGCCTTGGGCTGACTCCAGTCCCTACAGCAAGTTCTCCCTTCCAGACCAAGTGGTGCACCCAGTGGCCAGCCCACCCTGCTCACAGAAATCCAGCATGGCAGGAGAGTCGGACTGCAGGCTGTGTAACCAGAACCAGTACCAAGACTAACCTGCTGATGGCTTTGAGCACCCTGGTCGATTGCTGCTAGGCATGGTCCAAGTGCTTCTGGGTAGAGGCATGGTGCACAGAATACTCGTGAGTACTGTCTTCAGCCACACATTTACAGAGAGGAGGATTTTTTAAAATAAGCAAAAGTTAGAGATGGTCTGTGATATGGGACTTTAATATGACACTTATCTGCCATGGGCCTGTTTATCTGAAAAACAAAGGAGGCCAATTAGAAACTAAAAAGATCTATTGCACTAACATTGTATTAATACTAACATTTAAATATAAAAAATCCTAGCACTTTCAATTCAAACACAACCTTCAGACACCTAAAAGCTAAATATCAAGACATTTGATCTTGTTTTGGTCTCCATTTTTCAAAGGAATACATGTATTCTTTTATCTTTTTATTTCTGAAATAAGTGCCTTTTCCACACACATAATTTAGTGTTTTCAGACTCCTGATTATGTCTTCTAAGAATGGAATTAATAAGAAGATTCGTTTTCAAATACACAAGAGAAGATGGCCCAGCACTCGGACAGTATCCACTGTGAAAGGGAAAGCGAAACCTCCAGTCTTCTCTTTGCAACTGGGTGAAATTAATGATCCCCACACGTGGGTACAAAAATCCCATTTCTTCTCCCCATCTGGGAGTCTCAGCACTGCACATATTATATCTACAGGGGAGAAGACGAGAAACACAACCAACAGAAAATACAAAGCAGCAGGCCAACCAGATTTGCCAGTTGCCAGGAAGAGTCTCCAGATGTGCAATAGGAGATTTCCGGCTGGGCCAGAGAGAAAGGCAAAGGCTCCAATCAGCAAGACCTCATGCACCTGTCCCAGCAAAGCGGCTGTCTTTACTTTCTCCCCCAGACACCTAGACGGGTTTGCCTTTAATTAGAGGACACTGTGTGTGTGTGTGTAAGTTTGTATGTGTATGTGTGTGTTGTGGGGGTGACGGGGTGTTCTTGGCAGGGAATTCATTGCCAGAGATCCAAGAAGAACCTGAAGAGTCATATTTCATGAGATTGGCTTTCAAGGCCCTCAACATCTTCTGGAAATTTGTATCCAACGTGAGTTAATAGCCATGACTACGGAAAATCGGCAATGGCAATGAAAGTTTATGGAGCAGAATGGGAGTGATGCTGGAACAACTTGGAAATCATACAGCTTATGAACTTAGTATTTTTTAAAAATAAAAAAGACAATATGTATCATGGAAAGAAACTGTCATTACATTGATTAGCCCATTTGTAGTTAACATTTTAACCTGAAAGCCGTGGTCATTTTTATCAAATTTTTTATATGTGTGTGCATATATGTATACAGAGATTGTTTATAAAAATAAATACTTAAAACTGTAAGAAGGACATTTTCTTCTCAAGAATAATCCCAAGTAACTACTACAACATAAAATGTTAGAAAATATTTTACTAGACCTTTGCCGCAGTTACAGAAAAGAAACAGTTCAAAGTTATACAACGTTGGATTTTTTTCCCTTATCCCCAAAACTCTGCAAGAGGTTACTAACATAGTTGTGGCTTTCATTCTTTCAAATAATTCCCAGTTCACTTGAAAGATTTTTCTTTCAACAGATCTTTTTTCTAACGTGTGTGCTGCTATTTTATACAGCGAGTGTTTACTCAGTAAAAGCCCTTGTCATTTCAAACGGCTTCTCTCACCTTCAGTCTTGTTTTCCCCACATCTCCTTGGATGTGTATTTGGGATTTAAGTGCCATGATGAGCCAGGGCTAACAATTAGGAGACAGGTGTTCCACTGCCCCTTGTACCTCACTGATCTGGTGTGAGATTGACCCCCAGCACCACTGAGCACTTCCTGAGAGAATCGTGACATTCAAACTTTGCTTTCTTCTTAGTCACCACAAAATAGGACAAATCTCTGTATCCAATCCCTGCCTCCCTCGAAATTCTTCTTAGCACAACCTCTGTAAGCCCAGGCTGGGTGTGGGCAGGGATCCAGAATTTAATGTTTTTTAAATTACCGTATTACAGAATTATTCATAAAATTCATGAAAATGAGCTATGAGGTTTCAGGAAACATTTGTTATGTTAAAAAAAAATTACTCCATATTGTCCAAACAAATGAAAGTTATCTCAAGGGGATGGGAGGCAGACTGAGTCCTGTCTTGCTCCCATCAGAAAGAAGAAAACAATTACAATCTAACAGAGATCACCACCTTCTATCTTGAACCCTGAACTTCAAATCTAGAGACAATCAGGCATCTTCTGGAAAGTACTTGTCCACTAGGTCAGTGAGCTGGTTTTAATTTCATGTGAGGACAGGAAGGCTCATTTATTCCTGCGCTGAGTGTGTGAGTGTCTCTGTGTGTGTGTGTGTGTGTGTGTGTGTGTAGAAAGATTTACTTCTAAAATTGGCTCACGTGATCAGAGAGGCTTGTCGAATTCAGAATTTGTAGGATGGGCCCCCAGGCAGGAGATGTGAGAAGAATTGCAGACATGTCTACAGGCAGCATGCAAGAATTGTTTTGCTCAAAGGTCAGTCTTTGCTCTGTCTGTACCTTCAACTGGTTGGCTCAGGAAAGGTCATCTGCTTTATGTAGGGCCCAGAGATTTAAATGTTAACCTCATCAAAAAAACACCTTCACAGAAATGTTCAGAATGATGTTTGATCAAATATATGGGCACATGGCTCAGGCAAGTCAACAAAAAATTAGGCATCACAATGATATATTGTATTAATAGAAATTATGGTACAACACACCCTTCCCAGGATGGAGTGATATTTACCTCTTTATATGCCTCTTCCTAGTCTCAGCTCCACATAGGTTTGGGCACCTTGGAAAGAAAACCTCTTTAGTTCTTTCTTGGGTCCAAAATGGGCAATGCTACCCCCATCTTTGGAAACCATCTCTACAAAAGCCAGCATGATGGGAATAAAGGGAGATTATATGGCCCTCTCATCAACTGCCAACTTCCCTTGAGTTCTGTTTCTCTTTTATAATCCCTCTCCAAACATCCAAGAAAATCATATCAAAATACCATTAATATCAAATAAAAATATTTAAAATATTGATGATTCTTTCCATCCCCGATCTCAGTTCCCTTAAATAAGAAGACAATAGTGTGATGTTGTAGAAACAGCAAAGGATTTACTGTTAAGAAATATGCTCTGGAATGTCAACTGTCAAGGGAAATACCTTAATCTTTCCAAGCCTCAGTTTTTTCATCTGTAAAATGGAAATGGTGATGACAATATTGGTAGCTAACTTATTGTAATGACCCATTCAAATAAAATATGTGAAAGTATTGTATAAATGATAAAGCATGATAGTATTGATTCTTATAACCATATTCTATTAAGCTACAGTCATAGCTACTGTATATAATTTTAGCACCTACTCAAAGTCTCAGATCTCTTACCATGACAGTGGAAATTGAGACTAGTAAAGAAAGGGTCTTTCATGCCTACATGAGATTATTACCTTACACAAGAATTTGAACATAAAGTTTGTACAGGGAACTTCAACCTAGTGAGTCCATGGCCATAACAAACACATTGTTGGCTTCCTGGAATATGCTGAATTTCATATTGGAGAGTCCATCAAGTTTAGGCAACAAATCACTCACATAGCCTTTCCTCTCTGTAACACAGAGTGCTACAACACTCTCACACAATTATTTCATCTAGATGAAACAAAAAGCAGAAATGTCTACCTTCATTAGGCTGCATAGCTCTTCATAAAAACAGCTATCTCTGAAGCCAGTGATGATCTCGTGTATTCAGTCCCCAGGCTCTGAAACACTGAGGTAGACATAAATTCTTAGCGGTATCCTGCATGTGTTGCCAAAGTAGTAGAGGAGAAAATCCTAAGTGCACAATCTCTCCAAAGTTTATGGGACTTTCTATACAGAATACTTGTTTCTAGCTAGACTTAAGTTCCTATCTTTCTGAGGATTTCCTTTTTATCAATTACTGGTCTATAAAAATGTTTCAGATTTATGACTGTGAGCAACAATTTTATACTTCAGCAAGATTTGTTATTCTACCCTGAATCATATAGGTCACTAGAATAATCAAAATAATGGCAAAAACTTGCTATCCTGCACACATGTTTTATTACTTTGTAAAATCACCAATATTTTTGTCAGTTCCTGTCCACAAGCATGGACAGCATGGCAAGGAATAAGAATTTGCACCTCTTAATGTTACTGTTTTAACAACTTAGATGAAGAGCTATTTTACAGCCCTTTTTTTCTTTGTATTTTTACTTATCAATTTGTGACATGTGAGGCCGAATCATCTACAATTCATTCAAAGAACTTTTACTGAGTATGTGCTTCATCCTACACGTGCACATATATAGTACTATGTGCTTCAAACCATCCCACACATAGCAACTTGATTAAGCTTCCTGAGGCTAAGCACTGATGGTTGCAGACATAGACACACACACACACACACACACACACACACACGCACACACCCCATATCACCATTATCTCTATCACTACTGTTGTTTACAATCCAGTCTAAAGTTCTTTGCCTAGAATTCAAGGCTCTCTGAAGTACACTGATAAAATGGTTCAATTGAGGCTTTTCCCGTATATGTCCTTCTCCATTTTCTCTGCCTTGCAAAGTTTTCTGTCGTGCTCTTGCTGTTATGATGAGTCCTCATCTCAAAAGCCTCCTGTTTGATAAAGTTTCTCCTGTCACCAAACCAGCATTATTTCTCCATCCATAAAACATCCAGAGCCTTTTTTGGTCCTTTTCATTTATGCCTGAAGAGTAGTCATTTGTGAGCTTTTCTAGTGGACTCTGCTAAGACTGTTACCTTCTATGAGGTAGAAACTGTCTTAATCCCTCATTCATTCAATGTGCATTTTAGGAGCTTGTCATATTTCCCAAAGGACAAGAACAAGGGACTGGAAGTAGTTGTGGTTTCGGTTGTTGTTGTTGTTTTTCAGTACTGGGAATTGAACTCAGGACCTTGTGCTTGCCGGGCAGGGGGCATGCCACTGAGCTAAATCCTTGGCTTGGAAATACTTTTTAAATTCTTCAGTGTCCTTGTAGTTTCAAGGATTTTACAATTCTATTTAGTAAAAAGCATCTATAAGCTTAATATATATGAGCAGATTTATTGTTTTCTGGTAATGATAAAATAAATAATGTAAATCAACATCAGGCTAAGGGATACTTAAGTGTAAGTAATAGGATTCTATGATACAAACCCATGGCATAAACACAACAGTGGGAAAAGAAAAGAGAAAGATTAATTTTAGATCAAGGAATGAGCAGAAAGGGCTCAAGTAGGCCTTTTTTTCTTAAATCAGTCCATAAATGTGACCCTCAGGGACTGTCAAGCCAGGGAAAGATCACCAGCAAGGTTGTGAAGAAATTAAACTGAGTTTGTTTGGGCCCTTCAGTGAACTTGGTATGGCTGATTGGCAGGGTGTAAGAAAAGAACATTAAACTAAGGAGTTAAATATCATTCTTAAGCCCTTAAGTATCATCACTGTTCGTTATCTCTATATACGAACCAGCAAAGAACAGAATGCCCTGCATATAGGTGGTATTCAAATGTATGAAATCATTAATTTTTATTAGGTTAGTCAATTTATGATGGTAGGAAGTTTGGTTCCAGCTCTTTTTTGAAATCTAAAACAATTCTCTCTGTTCTTTCTTAACCCAGTCTACAACCAGTGTGGTCTGTGGAAGAGTCATTAGTGGATTCCAAGCACTGAAACATCTTTATATTCAGATTCCAGAGATTCCCTGGAAGAGCAGCATTCTCTCTCACTCACTTTGCATCTCCTTCCCCAGAAACATTTGTTCCCCCCGCCCCCCCAGAAGGGGCTGATAGAGTCAGGACTCTTGGAACATTAAAATTCGCTAGTTTTCTGGGAACCAAAGCATATGCTGCACGGTCTAGGGGAAAGTGTTCTTGTGTATTTAGTGTTTTTATCTCCTATACTTTGAAATAGCTTATTCAGTTAGGAGATTTTTTTTTCTTCTCGATATTTTATAATACCTTGTACAGATTTTATTGAGCAATATTTTTGAAATAATCACATTCCATCCATATGCCCAAATTCTCCTTTCTGTCTCTTTCATATATAGTTTTACCTTGTTGACATCTTATGGAGATGGGTAAACTTTCTTCCCTTTTTAAATAATTAAGCACAGTTGTTCCACATAGATAAAGATATGTTACTGTTTCTTTCTATACTCTGATCCTCTGTTTATCTTCACAGTTCTTTTGAAAGTATCCCATTAGATTGTTTCTTATTTTAGTTTATTACAGTTTTTCTCTTATGGTAAAATAAAAACAAGGTTAAATATATTCAGAATTGCTTATTCTTCTGATTTTAAAAATGTCAGCAAGCTCTTACCACGCTTAGTCGCTAATCTTTAAAACCAACAACATAGATTTTCAAGAATTATAGCATGATATCATGGGGTAAAAGTAAAATCAATAAGCTACAATGTCTGATGAGATAAGGATTCATTAAAATCATGGAATTTAAAAATAATGAAGTTTTCATATCTACCCTATTTGTGCCAGATTGTGATGTCTCTTGAATCTTTTTAATGAGAGAGAAGTACAAACATGAGAAGGAAAAAATTGGCTCAGATTCTGTGGATTTTTTGTTTTGTTTTGTTTTTTGTTTTCCTGCGGTTATTTTAATTCCTATCGAGTGCCCAAAAGAAATTAAGCTGGGATGCTCTTGCACTGTTCTCAGTCTACCTCCCAAAGACGGGGAACAGCCAGTGCCCAGTTACAGGCTTCCCCTGACCTGGCTTACCTGTGCCTGTTGGAGGCCAGCGGCAGGACAGGTGCATCTACTGCTGCACTGGAATACAGTGCCACGCTGAGAGTCCTGCCTCTCCTTCCCACCCCACCCACCTGCTCCTTTCTCCTGGCTCTACAAAGGCCAATGAAATATGCCCAGGTTTTTGGTTCATAATTCCATAATTCCTCGCTGGATAATAGTGCTTATCAAGGCATTTTTCCGGTCCTTAAAAGAAGAAATAGATTAGGGACCTGCAGAGTAAGTCACCCCTTAGACCTTTTCCAAAACAAGGAGAAAACTGCAGGTAAAAGGACTTGCATCATTCACTGAGGAAACAGGCAACTTTTCTGTGAAAAAAAATAAAAGCATCTACTGATCATTGGCAGAATGTACATGGGAAATGGTCATGAAATTTACCAATATTCATTTTGCCTAGAAAAAGGATAAATAAAAAGGTGAAACTGGCAATATGAGATTCAGGCTCCATAAGGAATTTTTCAAATGCCATCATAACCTTTACTTTTTTGTTTCTGTATTTCTGCCCCCCGCCCCGCCCCGCCACCTTTAGCTATAATACCAGCATGACTTTTTCCATGACGTGCACACCTGATCATGTCACAGCGGTGGTGATCACGGGATTCTGCCTGCATTTGAGCCTTGTTCCTTCTTTTACTTTCTACTGCACCCTTTTCTTTCTCCACATTGACAACCACACAGTGCCTCAAACTATTGTTTTCATTTACCTGCAGACACTCACTGGCTTGTTGTTCTGTAGATCCCAGAAGATTTGGTATTCTTCTCCTAGGATAATTTCCTGATCTGTAGTCCAAAAGAAGGTAGAAGCAAATCCTGCTCAGAACCACAGCAGAAGCCACGCTGTACTTGGGTCAGCGTTGTGACTGATTTTGTGACCTTACATTCCCCTTTGATGATGTGTCTCTGGAGGGGCTCAGGAACTGTGTCTCGGCATCAGTGCCTGACAAGAACCGGACAAGAAAAAATGTTTTTTATTACATTTTACATAAATAGCCTTTAAAGAGTGGAAGAGACAAAAGAAAATGCATGACATCTAATAATATCTATTGCCATTTTGATGACATCTGTCTACTTCTACATATGAGAAAGATTTTTTACTTAAGATTTGAATCATAAGAGAAGCTTCAGGAAATGCCTGGTAGTATTGAAAAGGTTAAGTGTTGGGGCAGGATGGTTCTGACCCACACAGGGCGATATTCAGAAGGATTCGTTCACACATCTGGAGAGACGCTGCAAATCCCAACCCAGCCACATCCAAAGTGGCAGAAACAAGCAACTGAGTCCTGAACAGAGAAATTACATCTACCATTGAATATATTAGGAAAACATTGTTAAAGTAATTGAAAACTATAGATTATGGGGAATGAACATATAGTTAAGTTTCTTTTTACAAAAATGATAAAATGACCAAACCATATTTAAAGTGCAGAGTCCATTTCCTCTAAAATGTCACAAGTAATGATGAGAGGAAACAGCCTTCCTTATTTCTGTAATAGACACATTTCTATTTGACTTAGATTAAAATAATTGCCACGAGCAGGTTAAATTAAAATCTCACGAAGTATTGGCATTTGGCTGTGTTTGGACAGTTCTACCCCACCTGGAATTATTCATGACAGTTTCCATTCATTATGCAGAAAATTAAAGTAGACATGTTTTTAAAAGCATAGTAATAATATTCCTTTGCCTGAAAGCAATCAGTCCTTTCCTAACCCATATTTGCTAAAATATCTTACAAAAGTAATATTATCATGATAAAAAACTGAATGCTACAATAAAATGTTACAAAAGAATGGTATAAAGTATACAATATGGTGACAAGGACTCACTTTATATGTTGTTGGGGACTCATCTGATCAGTAATGAATATTTCCCATGGAAAGGTACATTGTGAGGTTTTGGTCTTCTTTGGTTGCATTTCAAACTACTTGGTTCTACAGCCATTAACTTACAGAAACTCTTGAAAATAGTGGTGTAACCAAAGAAAGCAGTGTTGTCCCAGAACCCTGGCCTATGCTGGCATAACACTCTAGAACACTATTTAAAAATCGTGTTCCTAGTATGTGCTATAAAGCGATCTGGTAGTTCCCCAAGTCTATTTCCAAAGTTCTCATAGGATAATTTTTAGGGGAAGGAGCTTACATAATTTACTAGATTCTCAAAGGATTAGGTGACCTCTCCACATTAAAAAAAAGAACGGACTCCTGGCCCTAATATCTTTAGCCTTGAGTACTGCACATTACAGCCCAGTGCCTTGTAGTACAAACACTATCCTGGAAAATCCAGAGAGAATTTGAAGACAACAGGATTTATTTTCCAAAGAAACTACTGAGTCTCAGGAGATGTTTTTCCTCGGTTTTGTATCTCAGTGACATGTGGTTTGTTTTATGCTTCTGGGATGTATGCAATTGGGTAATACTGTTTCAATCCAGCTGCTCCAAATGACGTTAGGGTTTTCTGTTTGAAGGGAGATTCTGCAGATCCTGTCAGCCATAATTTGTGCTGGGTGATCTCAAAGCAGACTTCTTGTCTTAATCTATTCTATAATAAAATACTAAGAACTGGTGGCTTATAAAGAACAGAAATTTATACCTCGTAGTTCTGAGGGTTGGAGGCAAGTTGGGTGTCTGCTTCATGATCGGCACCTGCTTGCTGTGCCCTCACATGATGGAAGAGGCCAGTGGGCTCCCTTGAGTCCGGATTTTAGAGGCGCTAGGCCCACTGTCGAAGGCTGCTCCCTCAGGACCTGATCACTTCGCAACGCCGTCACCTTGGAAGCGAGGATTTCAACACATGACCTTGGGGTAAGACGCAAACATTCAGACTGCAGAACACATATTCTGAAGGAATCTTTCTGGAACCCAGCCTTGACAGGAAAAACATCCAGTTAATGACTTCTGAGTCTCAATAATATGATCAAAAACCTGCTAAAAAGTCTCATGATAAACTACAGCCACCGGGGGAAACCTCCTATAATATGTAGCTAATATTCTTCAGTGCCTTGCTTCCATTTTGCATTCATATGCTTGTGCTCCTTATATCACTTTTCTTTTTTAATCAACTCTATCGTTCTTTTCCCCTGAATCAGCTTTTCTTTGTGCCCATCTTAGATGTACACAGTTCACTGAGACTGGACAAAAGGGTAAGCCCATCACAATCAAGAAACAGAACTTTGTCATCATCCTAGAATGCCACTCATACCCTTTGCCTATCAGTCCCTCTCATCACCTGCAGGAAAGCATGTTCTGCAGATGAGTTTTGTCTATTCTGAACCTTATAATACAAATGGGACTATACAGTACTTACTACCATTTGTTACATATGTACTTATATTGTGTCTTTTAAACTCATCTGTGTTGTTGCTTATAAAAGTAGCTTCTTGCGTGTCACATGTATGCATACATATGCGTATCAGATTCTGTATCTCTCTCTGACCAGCGGTGATCAAGCCACGGTGTTCCCTCCACAGCCTCTGGCACTGATAGGGGAGAATCCACTTCCTGGTCTCTTCCTGCTTCCAGCTGCAGCCCTTGGTTCATAAACCCATCCTTCCTCTTGAAAGCTAACGATGCACCCTCTTAAGAGCTCTGTCTTCGCTGGTCATGGCCCCTTCTTCTCTTTCTGTGAATTATCACCCTCTGCCTCCCTCTTCTAAAGACATTTGTCATCCTGTTTAGGACTCACAAAGAAAATCCAAAGTGAAGTCACATCTGCAAAGCACACTTTGCCGTACAAAGTAACATACACAGGTTGATAGGATTGGGACCTGGTATCTTTGGGAGATGCTAATTTAACACGCCTGATGAACAAGACAGTGAGTGAAAATTATAATCAACATCCAGGAAGCACAGCATACCATGGCCCGTTAAGGGTTGTAGATTGCTCTTACTGGTATTCTTGGTGGGAATAGCAGTTTCTTACTACATCTCAACTCCGGAGCTAAAGGACATTGTACATCACATCTTAGTCATCCCCTTCTAATTTACCTGTCTCTCAAGTTGCATGTCTGCCCCTCTGTTAACTCCTGCCACCTACAGTTCTGCATATGAGTTACGGCCAGCAGAGTTCTTGCCTCAATCTTCTTTTCTCCCCATTCTGTTTACTGTTGCACGCTTCGGCTCTCCAAGCAGGAGCTCTTCCAGAAGGTCACAGAGGAATTTACAGTAAATGTTTCCAGGAGTTTCATCCTGCCCCTGCTAATCAGTCAGCTTTTGGGTGAAGTTTATCAAGTTACTGATCTCTAAATTTTGGTTTGGTCAAATATATGATAAAATAATACCACCCATTTCACATAAAAAGAACTATCACAAAATAGTCAGCCACTACATAGTGACTTTGTGTAAGCATATATTTAATATATAATATAAATATATGTATTGTGGTAAGAACACTTAACATGAGATCTTCCCTTGCCAAAATTTGAAGTGCACGATACCTTTATGGTTGACTCCAGAAACATTGCTGTTCAGCAGATCTGTAAAGATTATTCATCTTCCTAACAAACTTCATCCTCATCTATCTGCATCCTCTCCTCACAGCCCCTGGCAACCATCACTGGATTCCACAAATTCAACTATTTTAGATACCTTGTGTGAGTGAAATCAGTAGTATTCGTCTTTCTGTGACTAACAGAGAGTACTCCAGGTTCATCCAGTTTGTATCAGATTGTAGAATTTTCATCTTTAAAAGGCTAAATAGTATTCTATTGGATGCGTATACCACAGTTTCTTTTTCCACCCAACTCTCCCACATTTATGTAGTTTCCACATCTCAGCTATTCTGAATAGTGCTGCAATGACTATAGTAGTACAAATACCTCTTCAAAGCCCTGATCTCAATTCTTTTGGACAAATATCCAGACGTGAGCTCACAGGATCATATAATAATTCTACATTTAATGTTCTGAGGAACCTCCATTTTGTTTACCATTGTAGCGGCTCCATTTTATTTCTCTATGAAAAGGTTTCCATTTCTCCACATCTCCACCTACACTTTTTTAATTGTTTATAATAACACTCCTGACAGGTGTGTAATGATATCTCATTTGGTTTTGATTTGCATTCCCTGATTATTAGAGACACTGAACATTCTTTCATACACCTGTTGGCCATTTGTATGCCTTCTTTGAATAAATGTCTATTTAATTATCTAGCCAATTTTTTATTAGTTATTTCACTATCAACTTGTAGGAAGTCTTTATATATTTTAGAAATGAACCTTTTGTCAGATATTTGTTTGGAAAATGTTTTCTCCTGTTGTGTAGGCTGCCTCTTCACTGTGTTTTTCCCATTGCTGTGAAATGATTCAGTTTGATGTAGTCCCACTTGGTTTGCAACCCATGTGTTTGGTGTCGTGCCTATGAAATCATTGTCAAAATGAAAATTCGAGCCAGAGAAATAAGACAAGTAAAAAAAAATGAAAGATTCAAATCATAAAAGAAGTCAAAATACCCCAGTTTGCAGATGATGTGATCTTATATAAAGAAAACTTTGAAGACACGATTTAAAAATTTGTTAAACTAATAAAGGAACTCAGTGAATTGCAAGATACAAAATCAACATGCAGAAATCAATTGTTCTTATACACTAACAACAAGCTATCTGAAAAAATTATACTCGTACCTGCAGTACCACCAGCAGATTTAAAATATCTAGGACTGAACTACAGAGGTAAAACACATGTAAGTCAAAACTATAAAACATTAATGAAGAAAATTTAAAGAGATAAAAACAAATACATTTCTTTCCTTCTTTCTCTCTCTCTTCCTCCCTCCTTCACCCTTTTTTCTCCTTCTCTTCCTCTCTTTCTCTCATCGAGTTGGGATCTGGTTAAAATACAGACTCTGATTCAGGTGTAAAGTAAGTATCAAGGTTTGGCACCTATGCCAAGCCCCCAAGTGATGTTGCAAAACTTCTTCCACCACTGTCACCACCAAACGGAGTGGCAAGATCATGCTTCAGGCTTTCATGCATGACCTCATTTAAACCTCCATATAAACTTTGGGAAATGGGTGTTATTACACCAGATTAACAGATGAGGAAACCATGACACAGAGTGGGTAATCTTAACCACCTAGCAAACACCTAGCCAACTGGAAGAGTTAATATTGTTGAAATGTCCGTACAACCGAAAGGAATGTGTAGGTTCAATGGGATCACTGTCAAATCCCAATGCCATTTTTTACAGAAATAGAAAATACAATTCTAAAATTCATATGAAACCAAAAAAGACCATGAATAGCAAAATGAATCTAGAAAAGAACAAAACTGGAGGTATCAAACTTACTGATCTCAAAATATGTTACAAATCTAACATAATCCAAAGCAACTATAAAGACATTTAGATCAATGGAACAGAATATAGCACCCAGAAATAAATCCATACACATATGAACAACTGATCATCACAAGGGTGCCAAGAATACACAATGGGAGAGGATATAGTGTTTTCAACAAATGCTACTAGAAAAATTGGATGTAAAAAGAATGCATACAGGGCCGGGGATTTAGCTCAGTGGTTTCACCACCTGCTGTGCAAGCACAAGGACCTGAGTTCGATCCGATCCCTGGTACCAAAAGAAAAAAAAAGAATGCATACAAAAAGCAAAATTGGGCCCTTAGCTCACATTATACATAAAAATAAAATAGATTAAATAATTAAAACTTAAGATATGAAATAATAAAACTTCTATAAGTAACAAGGGAAAAATTTTATCACTTTGTCATTATATTGTGATGCCATTCTGGTGTAACCATAATAGTGAAAATTAACATTTCTCAGCAGTTTCACATCAGTGCTATCACTGATGTGATTCATTTTAATTTAATCTGTTTTCATTAAGCATCTACTATGTGCTAGAACCTGGGCACTGTATAAGATCCACTGTTAAACAGAATTCATTCCTTAGTCTCATAACAAGCTCATCAGCTAGGAAAGCAGATGTGTTAATCAACAGCTGATCACAATATAAGGTGTTTAGAGCCACAGATTCAAAAAAGCTTGAATATATTTGATGCTCTTCGGGAATTATTAATGTTGTGATCATAATAATAGTATTGTGATTATGTAAAAATATCCTTTTGATTAAAGGTATGCAGTGTATTAGTTTCCTATTGCTGCTATAACAAATTATCCAAACCCTAGTGAGTTAAAACAACATAAATTTATTTTTAAACTTTAGAAATCTGAAATGAATTTAATCGGGTTAAAAATCAAGACATGGCAGGTTTTTCCTGAAGATTCCAGGGGATGAATCCATGGTTTTCTCATCTTTTTTTTTTAGAAGCTGCAAATGTGCCTGGACTAGCGATCACTTCTCACCTCCCACATCGCTTTGACCTTTGCGCTCCCCTCTTCTAAACGCCTATCCCACCTGGATAGTCCAGGATAATCCCTCCAACCTGAAGTCCTTAACTCAATCACACGGATCAAGTCTTGTTTGCTCTGTCTTCACAGATACTTTATCCTAGATAGGAGAGGGTTGGGGAGGACATTTTTGGAGCAGGAAAGCGAAATGCTGACCAGATGTAATGGTTTTAAAAGCTGTCATTACCTTTGAGCGAAATCTCACTTGGCAGCAACTTCCCTTGGCTTGTAATAGAAATATGAAAGTCAAAATATAGGCCCCACGGGGTTTTATTTAAAATCATGATGGGAAGAATGTAGATGTGCCGAGGGAGATTTCGATTCTGAAGGGCCAGACTCAAGAGCTATTAATATTTGAGATTGCTCTAGGCATTCAGGAATCTCACAGTTCATTTTAAATTCTCTCATACAGGGTCTCTGC